CATAAACCATACTTATTGTCAAAGAAGAAGTCACGAACTGATAAGTCACTTGTTAAATGTGATGAAAGTAAGAAGTAATAATAACTTACGGTTGTGTTTTATTGATTATTAGAACGATAGAACCATGAGTATAATACAATTTTTTCTTGAATAAATATTGATCACATTTATTTCAAGACGCCGTTTGATAATTAAATAAAATGTGGTGTTTTTTTGAATTCAGAGAGAAATGAATTCCCGGAAAAGCGTTTAAAATTTTAAGATGAGGGATATATGTTATTTAGAAACATACGGTACCGTTGATGTTGAAAAGGAGCGTGCCTATGTCAAAAATATGATTAATGAAGGCCGCCAAATAGACGGCACGGTTCGTCCTATATAAGCTTGGAGGGTATACAAAAGCTGTGTATAGCGCCAATGTTAAGAAGGGTATAGTCTTAACGAGAGGAAATAAAAGGAATGCCAGTACAGAGTCTGGTTTTTGTAGACAATTTGTTATTGAGTAATAATTAGGTATAAAACTGTTCATTGTTAACATGTAGAACGCTAGTAATGTAATGAGGTTTTAAGTTATCAATGACTGAAGCTATATGTGGGTTGAGTGGGGTGCACACCACTCGCCGTGGATATGGTTTTAAATAAAACAGGATGGCATTCAGATAGTAGCAATGTAACACTGAGAAAAAAATAGGTATATTAATGAGACTATAGGTCAAGTCGTTAAATTACTGATGGTGAGTTGTTAAAGTAACCATGTAATTGTTTTGGCAGAATTATAAAAATAAAGGAAATGATAAAATTGTAGATTGCCTGTACTGAGTTAAGGTTAAGGGGTCAAAGGAAATTTAATACTGTTTTAGAATTCTGATGATTAAAGAGAAACATCAAAGTTAATTAATAATTAATTGAAGTTTATTTTAAATAAGAGAAAAAGTTGATAATAAGGTTAAGAAATAATCTTAGGCTAATACTGAAATAAGGACTACTAAGTTTTTGTCTGATAACAATGACATGTTTGATTTGTGGATGAATGAATTTATCTCAACACAAGTCGTCAACGAAGAAAAGAAGTGCTGATCGAAAATTCATAGAAGTCGGGACTTTTGACAAACGAGATACCTTACTTAGAAGAAGACGATTGTAGTTAAAACTGACCAATGGAAATCCAAGAGGATAAATTGCAGAAGTTAAAGTGAAACTGAACTTTAACAACATTAAGTAAAGTGTAATAGTATTTTGAAATTAGGACACGTGAAGATTTTAGGAACATTTTAGTTATATTTTACTGTGTTTAGGTTAAAGTGGAAGAAAATGAACAATAGGACAGTGAAATCACATTGACTTAGAAACAGTGTTATTTATTGTGTTATAACCTGAATCAGTGTATTTATGTTATTGTAGCATGCATATCAGTGTATTGAAATAGTAGAATTAGGACTTCAAATATTTAATGGACAACTAGAAGTTTTTAGTAACTATTATTAGTGATTATTTAAAGATTGTTCGCGACATGGAATGACAATTTTAAAATGTCATTCTGAAAGTTGTATAGTATTGTATTATATTTAATGCATGTTAGATAACGACGTTAATTAAGCAACGGTGCTTATTTGACGCATTGCGAAGGGGCGTAGTATCTATAGGGTCTATATACAGTAGAGGTTATCTGAATTCTCAATAAAAGAAGATCAGGATAATGTATTGAAGTTTTTAGCTAGTACCAATGAAAACGAGAACTAGGTTAACAAGGATAAGTCTGGCAGTTTAAAATAGGGCAATGACATCATAGTCTGCTAATCCAATTATGGTAATCCCATGCGTTAGAAACGCGGTTAGCCGCCATCCTAGGTGCCCATATAAATACACAGTGTTGAAATCCAGGGTAGCGTCTGTGCAGCTGTTCAATCCGATAAAGAAGGTATCTCGTCAATTTCCCGGGGCTCAATACTGACTCATGCATGTATCATCTTTATATAAGAAAGAGCGAGTTTAATTTCACTTCAGACATTATTGAGTGGCTGGGAAATAAACAGCATGTAGAACCAACATTAAGTGTGCGGCTTTTGCCACGTTCCAGCCGTTATGGTCTGATCTAGAAAGGATATTAAACTCAGACCGTGGATATTTTAATAACTCGAAAAGTATTATGATAGATATTGTAATTTCCTGTGTTTAACCTTTGTAGTTTGCTGTATTTGATATATAAACATAGTAACAACATAAACAGTGTTTCAGACTTAATTGATCATTGGAAATAGTTATCACAACGTGAAGTCGAAGAAAGGCCTAGACGATAAGTGACCAGGATAGTCACATCTGTCCCCGTAGTGTCACAGTGAGTTTTTTCCGGGTCCTCCGGCTTCCCACCACTTCAAAAGACCCCGTACAAGCAAGCGAATTATTAAAATAAAAGTGAACCATATGTTAGCAATGAAGTGACCTGATTTGTGTCGAGTGGACGTTAAACACGAGGGTGCCTGAAAAGGATAGATCAACTGGGCTGAAAGAAAGTTTTGCCACCAATAAGTAAAATCATGGAAAGAATCGTAGACATAAGAACTGCAACTATAGTAGTATTATTGTCTTCGTTACCAGACCATCTTGTGAACCTACCCATTGAAATCAACAGAAACGAACAAAACTGGCTATAGGTCAAGTACCGCCAACTGAAAGGACTAATCCCATCAAAGATACACGCCGACATGATCTCCACTTTAGGGGATGATGCCCCTTCATTTTCCACAGTAAAGAAGTAGCCTGCGGAATTTAAGCGTGGTAGAGGGAACCTTGACGATGACTCGCGTCCTGGAAGACCATCAACAACAACCATTCAAGAAAACATTAGACGGGTGCATGACATGGTGATGACTGGTCGACGATTGACCACTCGACATATATAATTGCCAGTTCTTGTGAACATCTCTCATGAGACGATTGAGCGCACTATCGCTAAAGAGTTAGGAATGACAAAAGTTTCTTCTTCAAGATAGGTGCTAAAGCTCTTGTCTGCGGATTAGAAACGTGTCAGATTCCCGTGACAATCTGCGCCATTTTGAAGCAGATCCTGATAATTTTTTGGTCAGATTTGTGATCATGAATGAGACCTGTTTCCAAAAATGAAGAAGGAACTAGCCGGTCATCTTTTCATGACGTTATGTCAGCTGTGAACGCTTTTTTTAGGCTAGCTGAAGAAAATTACTTAATGACCGGCATCCAGGCGACCAGGCCTTGCAACATAGTTATGGCGAGGGTTTGTACACCTTGAAAAGGACTATGTTGAAAATAAATGGAAACCGTTGACTTTGTACGGGTCTTTCACAAATAGGCTTATATCGAATTCCGGGACCTCGAATTTTCGTCTCATCCGAACATCTAGACGAATAAGTGAAACAACAGATTAATCTAGTTTGAAAGTATATTTGACTTGTGGTTTTGAGATGTGATCATATTCACCCACTGTGCTACTTGTTTAACTTCAAAAGTAGTTTAGTTTCAGATTTTAGACTTTAAAAAGATAATACAATAAAAAAAAAACAAAACAAAAACAAACAAACAGCAAAACACACATATAAAACGCAAAGGTCAACCATTCTCACCTTTTTCTTTAAACGGCTACACTGTTGAAAATAATAAGGTAGTTAACACCAATTCGGGTGGAAACTAGTTGTCACCTAAATAGGGGTAACTCATAGCCTTTAGTAGCGTAAACCGGTACCAACCCCTAGTGTAGAACGTTACAACAGTTCAGGTGGGAACTAGTTGCCACTTGCAGTAGTGTAACCTGCCTGATGCACTCAGACGGTGTAATGTTATACTTAAATAGTTTACACCGGTGGGTGTAGATTAAGCATTACCCCTCAACAATGTTTTGTAAATTACACTTTCATTTTAATTATTAAACCAACGCGGGTGTAATTTGTTTTGTTGGATATGTATTTCAAGCCAACGACTTCTAAGGTAAAAAAAAAACCCTCGAAATTGGCTATAGGTCTCTATGATAATTATGATAAGTATAAGTCATTTAGCCCGACCCAGATTACATATAGACCCTCGGCTACTTCGCTTCATTTTACAACGACATTAAATTAACAAATATCCAGCAGACCGATTGGGCAATTAAACAACCTGTATCAATTCGCAATGAATATAAACCATGAGGAAAAATCAATACACATATGCTTACAACTTAGCTGAATAATATGGTTTATTCATTTATGCACCTCACTTGAATTAAGAATAATTAATTAAGATATTGTACTTGGTAATATTTTGGAACATTTACACGTCTTTAAGTGTATACAAGCTACAATAATCTATATTTGAGGCGTTATGAAATATTATTAAGATTATTTATATTCTGAAAGACTTATATTCGTTATGAGTAAACACTTTAAAATGAGATATAGTTGTGTTACTAATGCAATTAACGCAAAACACTCAAATTGGAGTATACATGTACTTTTATAACGCAAGATACAGTGTAAAATTGACACCTTATTCGAAGGAATGTTTCCCTAATATAATACACCTGTTGGTGTAAATGCAATAAAACGCTTGTAGAGGGGTAGCTCATCCCAAACACCCTTTAGCGGCTACAATTACACCTATCCTGGTGTTCAGTACTCAAGAATATCGATTACACCTTTGCAACCTAATAAACGCTATAAAATAAACGCTGTTCTAGGATTTATTCCCCAGTTAACCCTTTGGTGTAAATACAGTATAACACTGGTAATGGTGTAGATTATCCAAAACACCCCACAATTACACCTATTCAGGTGTTCAGTAGTCATGAATATAGGTAACACTTGTTAGTTGTATCTTGGAAAGGTGTTACATTTAAAACACGCTAGCTCTGGTGTAAAGTTTACATTTAACTAACACAGCTTATAGTTTTTAATTACACCCATTTTTAACAGTGTGTGTTTTATATTTCCCAAAGTTATATCTGGAAAAGGAGTGTTTTGTATCTATATATGGTATATATAGGTCATAGATTACTTGAAATCACGGACCTGTAAGCATGAAGATCGTCTGGTGTCTACTCGCTGTTTTTGGATTTACACATTGTGTTCCAATAGAGCAAAATCCCGTAAGTTTCAATATACAAAAACAGGGTTTCACGGAATTTAATCAACGTGAAAATTGAAATAAAAAAGTGCTAAGTAGGTTACTGCGTCTAACCATGTGGTGTGAATGAATCTGAGGTCATGTTTAGAGACCAAGAAAAAAATGTGAAAATGTAACACCGAAATTCAGAGCACTACACTGAATCTTCGCGGTCTCATTTTGCAACCAAAACTGTTTAAGATTATTGGGCGGTACCTAAGAGTATGTCATTTATATGAAGACTAACGAGTTTTAGATAAACATGTTATTCCATTTATTTTTTTCTTACAGATTGGTAACTATGGCCCGGCTGGTAAGAATCATTTTCGTTTACTAATATCCTTCCCACTTTATGAGTCAAAAATGCCGAGTATAATACTATATAAAAGAGAAATTGGGTTTAACATCCTACTGTTATGTCCCACCTTGGCTAATAAAGAGGGCATACCACATACAGTATGCTATTAGGGGAATTTTGCCACGACCTACCCTTATTTTAAATTGTAACCGCCAAGGGACTTCGGGAGTTCATCCCACCTGAACGACTAGACAACTGTTCTTGTCAGGTCCTCCGTCCTGCTTCACTGATAAGGAGCAATGAGTTGAATAATAATGTATTTAAAGATGCCCTCCCACGTACAAACTGTGATTTGATGATATATGTGCACTAAATATATATTAAAACTAATTTATCGATCAAACGTTAGTTTCAAATCCCTCCATTTTAATCGGAGGAAAACTACCCCACGCCGCAAAGTCAATTTTACTCCGCCTTGTTTGTCAGGTGACTTGATTGAGGGAGATTTCATTTATATAGCATTTATTTGTCTTTAGTCGCTGTCCATTCACCATAAATTCTTGGATTATCCTCTGCTAACATAAGAAGCGTTCCAACATAAGACAGGCTGCCAGTATGTGACACCCTTACAATTGTGTCTTTTGGGCGACTCAGTATTTTTCTAGTAAGATTTGGTGTCTCCACGTCCCATATATAACAAGTATACAATACATTTATTGGCAATAACTAACCTATAAATACTTTCATTTGAACTTATCTTTAAGACAATCAAGCAACGTGTCATCAATACAAATTTATGAGGATCGACTTTAATTTAGAACTGGTCGATGTTGCTAATCTATAGTTGGCTTTTAATCTTGAACATTGCAACCTTCATAAACAAATTACACTTAACATTTGTTTTGTTTTCCTGTTTCATTGTATAATTAAAATATAAACATTGTAGTGTTTAAGGTTTGTGTTCTGTTGCCCAAATATATTTCTTTCAATCTGATTAAAACACAGATCCTATTTCGTTTCGTTTTTTTATAATTAAAAATTTCGTTTTACTTGTCTTTACTACACTAGGATCTGGAAGAGTTGTTATATAACCCGCGTTCTGGATGATGTAAGGGATTAGCCAATGAGAAAGAGAGAGAAATGGGGTTTAACGTCCACTCGACACAAACTAGGTCATTTCGGGACTAACATATGGTTTTAATTTTATTTCAATAATTCGCTTGCGCGTGGGGGTCTTTCGCAGTGGGAGGAAATCGGAGGACCCGGAGAAAACCCACGAGGTTGGACAGGCGACCCTACTCCTTGTCACGTACAACCGGGGATTCGAAACAACGCCAGTTGACTCAATGACAGGCCGTATGATACAGCACGCACGTGCTAACCATTCGGCCACCCAACCCCCCGATTAGCCAATGAAATGGTCTTTTACGACAAGATTTTGACGCGAGGTGCACGGAACTGTGGGTAACCCCCTAGAAACAACAGCTCTGATTGGTTTATCAATTAATGTCTGACGTCATAGGTCAAAATCCGCTCGCATGACCTCTGACGCGACTTGCCATCACAACCGGTCAGATCTTCATATGGTGTAGGCCATTGAAAGTGTAAAAAACGAAACGAAATATAGATCTGTATTTTATATCAGATTGTATTTCTTTTAGCTTATCTCATATAAAAATAGCATTATTGCTGTCCATCGACTACTTCATTATCTCAACCCTTCGACTGAAATATCTCCCCATCACCGTTAAATTGCAATTTTTTTTTCAGAATTTGATGAGAACTTTCCAGAAGAAAATCCAGGTAAGTAAATATTTGTTGGGGTCATGGACTGAACAGGAAATAGTTGGGTGACATTGGCACCCGTTGCATAGATCCTACAGATCGTCTCCAGGTCATGCCAAATGTTGACAAATTTTCAGTTGATTATATACATATATGTAAATACTAAACAGAACTGGACCTATTAGAGACACAACTTTCACCATGGTATCATTTGTAAGTGATACACATATGACGTTAAGATACCTTAAGAGGAGAGAGAGAAATGAGGTTTAATGTGCACTCGACACAATCTAGAGCATTCGACACAAACTAGGTCTTTTCGGGACTAACATATGGTTCAATTTTATTTCAATAAATCGTTTTCCCGTAGGGGCTTTATCAATGGAAGGAGACCGGAGGACCCGGAGAAAACCCACGAGGTTCGACATGCGACCCTACTCCTTGCCACGTACAAGCGAGGAATCGAAACCACGCTACTTGACCCAATGACAGACCTTATCATAAAACGCCCCCCACCCCATAAAAAAACGAATTAGACTTCAATATTGGTCCACTTCAATCAATATAGAATTTGGACCGTTCTTGGACTTGACTGAACCTAATTCAATAAAAATTGTAGAATAATGTTCGTCTATTCTAAGCCTCCAGTTACTGTATGTACACCCTTTGAGTTAAAATATTATTATTTTTGTTAAAGGTTTATATGAAGGGGATATTGAGTTAAGAGAAGGTGAAGATCCTCGAGTAAGTTATGAGAGTTGATATATGTAAATATATGTCTAAAAATAATTGATATAAATAAACACCTGCAATAGGAAGATACAGCTATTACATAATGCATCTTTGAAATTTCGAAATTGATCTTCAACAGGGCAAATCCGGACATATACATGTATAATAATATGTGTTAATTATAGATAAAACTTCAATAATCACTTTTCTTCCCGTTTGATGCATTAACAATCTGTTGAATTAAAAAGAGGGATGGCGTATTACGTCCACTCGACACAAACTAGGTCATGACTAATCCATGGTTCAATTTATTTCAATAATTCGCTGGGACAGGCGTTCCTACTCACGTACAAGTGTATGGATTCGACACAACGCCACCTGACTCAATGATTATTTTTAAAAACCTAAAGCACGCGCATTAGACAAGGCGACCCCCCACCCCCACCAAACCCGATGTTGCGAATCATAGTTAAGTCAAGACACCCTTTCATACTATTATATAATAACGTGGTTGTTTTTATTATCATTTGACAGAATAGAAATGCTATTACTGATAAAAGCAAATTGTGGCACGGTGGTGTTCTTCCATACTCTATCTCTTCTGGATATTGTAAGTTACACTTTCAGTATCCATTTCATTTTGTCAGCTTTACTTTTATTAACATGTTGTCGCGAAAAGCTTGTACAAAATTAATAATAATTTTATTCACTTGATAGAGGGCCTATCTCTATGTTAGTTTTGTATTCACAGGGGGATAATAGGGTATTTGAATTTGATGATGTTTTTCGCCACATAAGATATCAAATTGACATCGGACTAGTGACGTATTATCTACGGTATGGAGGTAGGGCAGATCACTTCCCCACGTAAGCTAGGGAAGAAGACCGTGTTATCTTGCTCTGCTGGGTGTAGAATTAAGGCGAAACTGACCCCTCCACATCCTGACTTTGGCCCTGATCATAGACCACTTTGCATCGTTAAAAGCTAGGAAGTTGTAATTTTCATGTAGTGCCATAATTTGTTGGTTATAACATTAACGAAACTGACATGTGTTTTTGATCTTATTTTATGGTAAAGTTATCTTAAAAAGATATTAGACAGAGGGACAATTCCAGTGCTTGCAAATGGCTCTATTTTCCTCAGATACGCCAATGCATTGAAGAGCACCCGGTGTGTTATGTGACACCAAAATCACAAGACTTGATTGCATTTTCTAAATATTTTTAAAATCGTATATATTTGATTTACTCCTAGCTTCAAGTGATCAAGCTTCCATCAGAGCTGCCATGCATACCATTGAGGAGAAAACTAAAGTAAATGGTAAAACATGTATCCATTTTACACCTCATACCAACCAACGACAATATATTAGATTTGCATCTGGAACAGGGTAAGTATATGTTTTTTTCATTGTAATGAAATGGGATGGGGTTTAACGTTCTACATGTCTTCGCCAACTCGGTTAATGAAGAAGTATACACGCCCGGGCACCAGACACTGTCCCTTCCAAGCTCTCTGCCTGCACAACTGACATTTGGAAACCAGGATGGAAAATCAGAAGGTCCTTACTTGGCCAACACCGAGATCGAACCCCGGACCTCCTGGTTAGTAAGAAATCGACTTACTTGCTGAGTCACCGTAACTCACTTCTTCAGTAACGGGGTGATGGTCAAGACGGTATGGTGTTAAGGAGAATATTCGTAAATGTTCGGTACTAAAACATCACCTGACGTCGAAGTCTTGTCAGAGATGAAGAGAGGCGGTCTGGGCTATTTCACTTATGGGACCCATTATAATCCCACACCCTCACGACTAGAGAAAGATGAAAGGTTTTCTTTTTTAAATACAATTTAGCAAATCCGAGGGTAGTATGTTTAAGGCAAAAGTGTATGTAAGAAAGGCATGTGATTCTGTCCAAAATATTATGCCTTGGTCGGAGGGCCCCTTAGATCTTGAGGCCCTAGGTGTCAGCCTACCAAGCAGACACTGGGTCTAATGCTATAGCTTTGAGTCATCTCGAGCGGATCAAGAAATGCTATATACGTCTTCCCATTCGGTACCCTAGTTTCAACACCTCGAATGTTCGGGGCCTAATTTGTGCGGCTTGTTACCAATTCTCAAAAAGTCTACCGAGTGTCACGATAATAATGATCAAGCGAAATATCGTAAATATCAGATAATGCTTATAATTTTATATTTGAAAAGCTGTCATACACCAGTTGGTATGGGCCATAGTGCGTCAACTGTAACATTGGGAAGAGGTTGTTTGAGAATTGGTACCATCATGCACGAGATTAACCACGCCCTTGGAAGCTGGCATGAACAGAGTCGACATGACCGTGATAGTTATGTCACTATTGATTTTTCTAATATTGAAAAGGGTAAGTGTTTGAATTGCTGATCTGTATTGAAAAACACTAAAGCTTGCCACATGAAGGGGGATTGGGTGGCCGAATGATTACCGCGTGCGTGTTAGATCACAAAGTCTGTTATTGAGTCAAATGGAGTGATTACGATTCCCCGCTTATACGTGTTTAACATCCACTTCCACCGAGGGTGATATCGCAGACAAGTTATCTTATTTTCATTATCCCAGCGCCCGCGGAGGGGTCTTTCCTGTGAGAGGAAACCGGAGTACTCCAGGTAAACCCACGAGGCTGAGAAGGCGCCCCTATCTCCAAGCGACATAAGCTCACACAAGGGATCGAAACCACGACCACAAGCAAAGGGCGACGGGCCAGCTAGAGCTCGAAGCGCGACACTCTAGAACACTGGTTTATCACAACCCCCCCTTATTAATGTCCTGTATCTGACATTATTTATAGTCCGTTGTCATGGTAATCTATTATAGTAAAAATGTATAAAACTGTATGACTAATGTATAGTTATTTACATACATTATAACATCTGAAGATGCTCGATAAGGAAGTATTTTTTTATTTACATATTTATATATGATATATATTTACAGGACACGAACATAATTTCAATAAGTATACCAATATCGACGAAGAAGGCCAGCACTACGACTACGAGTCGGTCATGCACTACAGTGCCTATGCTTTTGCCCATGATCGAAGAAAGCCTACCATCATTCCCAAACAGAGAGGTGCTGTCATTGGTCAACGAACGCATCTTAGTCCTATTGACATCAAAGAAATGCAGATTTTATATGGATGCATACCAAGACCATAAAACATTTATCTATTTGAAGTAAAATAAAATATAACATTATGGGTTACAGTGTGATTTATTTTTATACGTGCAAATTTCAAAGTGGTCGAATATTTTGTACACTTAAGTGTGGCCATCTGTCAATCTACGATAACATTACGATTTTGATTTTGCTGAGTCATTTTATAACATTTTGAGACTGATATTTAGTTCATTTGGAGACCAGTCCTAGTTCATGTATGAGATTATGATATTTATCCTAGTTAATTTTGAGATTATCTTTGAGATTATTCCTAATTCACTTTGTTCACTTAGTTCACGTTCACGTTGAGATTATTCCTCGCCCACGTTGAGATTCTTCCTATTTCACTTTGAGATTATTCCTAGTTGATTTTGAGATTATTCCTAATTCACTTTGTTCACTTTGAGATTATTTCTAGGCAGTAATGCTGTGAACTCACGACACGGCACTAGCGCTGGTGGATAGAATAAGGCTAGCAGAAGTTCTCAAGTTGGTTTTGAAAATAAATGGAACATAATTTGGTATTACTGCCCTATATAAGTCTAATATAACTTGAATATGATAACTCTGGCCCAAAAGCCCTCTGTTAGGATACATGTTTTTTTTTAAATCTGGTTTCAAATTTGGATTTTTATTTCACAATTAGGCTGTTTTGCAGACGAATCTGTCACCAACAGATAGCGTATATAAAATGCCACCTACATTCCAGACCGGTAGTCGAACAGCAAAATATATTAGACACAGTTTTCAGTTCTTGTTTCCATAATCCATATTTGGCAAATTCTCTGTATATTTTGACATATTTAACCAATCAAATAATGAATAAATCGTTCATCACAGAATATCAGAGATATAAAAGGACCAGAAATCCCCCCGAATGAGCAGGCCCATTGACATTCTTAAGAACACAGGATATAACGTTTCTAGAAATTATGTAGCACTGTAGTTCGGCAACCAAATCAAACATGTAGTGATATGAAGTGCTATGAGTCGCTGGCTAGATGTGGAAAACCCACCTGTCAAAAACTCCCTACATCCAACGTGTGACGCATACTCTCCTCTGCTACATATTTTATTAGCATTGTGATCGTCTAGTATTGTCTTTGATTATATTTGTAATTCCCTAGTGGTTAGCACGTCTCTTTAAATGTCACTCTGGCATTCACGTTGTGAATTTGCATCTTAATCCAATTATGGTTACACACAGGAATAACAATACCACAGTTCGTTTCTACATTTTTCTGTCAAGCATTGGATACATAGGTAACACGCATACATTTTAAAAATAGTCATTCTCTACGCTCTCTCTCTCTCTCTCACTCTCTCTCTCAACCCCAACATTTCGTAGAACGAGTTTACTGGCGGCTCTCCTACTTCTTAACGGGGAATTCAGAATCCAGATGTTGCCCCTTGAACCTCAACGGTCTCTCCCAAAGAATTTTTACATAGTACTTGCTCTCTCAAAATCTACATGGTTGTCTGAAAATCGCCCACAACTCTGATGGTCAAATATGACGTAACTAATTATAATGATTGGCTCGCACGCTTAATGACGTGAGTGCTATCCTTAAATGGACAGAAGGAATATTCCACTCATTAGTGTTCTAGATAATAGAATTTATCCTGTTATTATCACAGTGGTCTAGATTGTCGCGCCTCGAGCTATAGCTGGCCGGTCACCTCTGGCATGCGGTCGTGATTTCGATCCCGGGTGTGAGTGTATGTGGCTTGGAAATAGAAATACCTTCTCAACCTCGTGGGTTTTCTCTGGGTACTCCGGTTTCCTCCCACAGGCGGAAGATAATGAAAATGAGAAGACAACTTGTCTGCGATATCACTCCTCGGTGGAAGCGGGCGCAGAACGCAAGAAACCACTTATACGAAATAATTAGCTTTTACATTTGGAAATGGAAGAAAAGTGGACAGAAAAGCCTGCACAAAAATGAAAATTGACGCACACTTATCTACAAATGACCGCCGTGTGGTACAACCGAGACATTTTATTCAATTCCAAGATATAACATGACGTAGTTTTAAAACACCTCTCACATCAGCAGAGGTTAACAAGCACGTTTATATTCGAAAATCGGTACACATTGGCTTGAACGTAACATTAGCTGTGGCAGTTGTAAATCGAAGAAACGTAGGCAGAAATAAAAATTAGCATACGCAGTCTCAAAGTGACCAAAATATTGTACTGGCGGGACATCAAACGGCCATTCCATGGCCAGATATATGAGGTACTAGCAGGATACCCGGTTCGTCCGCGGTCCAAATTCGCCCAGGGGCCAAATCACATGGGGCCCAAATTCGCCCTGGGCCCAAAATTGCCCAAGGATCAATTCCCCCGTGGGGCCAAATTCGATGACCTTTACGGGGTCATACTGGTTAATTTGATACCACATATGTGACGGTGGAGAACGGCGACGAAGCGTTATTTAGATTACAACAGAGATAATTTCTCTCCAAACAGCACAATGTAAAACAGAGAGATAATTTCTCTCAATAAATAAGTGCAACAACAGTAAGTGGCAATAAATCGAGAATATACAGATCACGTGGGTCAAATAGAAACTTACGATAAACGATTAGTTCTGTACGAAGTACTAAGAAAGTTCTGAACTTATGCTGGACCGATCCAGCTTATATAGCTTTAGTAAATGTGTAGGACTTTCTGGAACATTCTCAATTTTTTCAAAAGTTACCAGAACCTTCCAACCTGTTTCTAGAAATTTCCATTTATTTCTAAACACTGTTTCTAGAAATTTCCATTTATTTCTAAACACTGTTTCTAGAAATTTCCATTTATTTCTAAACACTATTTCTAGAAATTTCCATTTTTTCTAGAAGTTTCCAAATGATGATTCTGGAAAATGCGATCGCCTTAAATGGTAATAAACGATAGATTTCAAAGAATTAGCATGACCTCGTCACACGCCAGGGGCCTATATTCGCCCGGGGCCCAAGTCGCCCGGGGTCTAAATTCGGGGGGGGGGGGGGCAAGTCGCCCGGGGTCTAAATTCGGCGGGGGCCCAAATTCGCCCGAACCCAAATTCGATGGCCTTAAATATTCACGGGGTCATGCTAGTTAATTTGTAATTTGATACCACATATATGGGTGTGGAACGCGGCGACGAAGCGTGATCCTCCCGGGGCCCAAATTTGAGGACATAAAACATTCATGGGGTCATATTGATTAACATACACACACAACATCGGGAGATGGGCGAACATACACACACATACATACTTTGATTTTATTTATATAAATTTTTAATACATCCCGCACACCAAGAACGGCCAAGAAACATCGAGAATTATTTGCACGTTTATCTGCGAAGATTGGGTCATAGATAACAACTGAGTTGTTAGAATGAAGACCATATTGTTTTTACTCGCTATATTAGGATTTATTCACTCTATACCAATACAGAAGCCAGTAAGTGTTTATCGTCAATACAATTTTAGTTTGATAATTCGTTATTTCATTTCCTTGATAAATCATGCGAGAGAGCGAGAGAGAGAGAGAGAGAGAGGGAGAGAGAGAGACATATTCCTGAAGCAATGGCCCGAGAAATCCCTCTCTGGCCATTGCTGGATTGGCTTCTGATACTTTAGCTTTTGAGGGAGTTTGTCTATTCTTCCCGTTCAATCAAATCTATCCCAAGTACAGCAACGTAACAGCCCTTCGTTTAATCTGGGTCTTCCCTAAAACTTTGGATAGTGATTAAAGGTATTAAAAACAGTGAAAATATGTTCGTCTCCGAACAGTATTGTTTACATTGTTTCGATTTGTTAGCCTCGCTTGTCAGGCAATTAGTTTTTCTGCAATATTCTGCTATGCACTGATTAATTGGGCATAATAAAATCGTGAGTCATAACGTAACGTTATCTAAATTTATTTGGCCCAATTTGGAGCTCTGTTTTAAGCGTAATGCTTTTGTAACGCAATTAGCTATTGGTTGTTAATCGGACCATTGGCCAGCCATAATTTGGCACAGACATTTGCCTTCGTTAAAGCAGTGTTTAGTGGGATTAGGTATAATCAAACGAAACACTGCGAGGAGTATGAGAGAGAGAGAGAGAGAGAGAGAGAGATGAAGAGAAAGGGAGAGAGAGAGACCATTTCGGAACTAACGTATAATTCACTTTTATTTCAAGATTTCGCTCGAAACCAGGCTACTTGACTCAATGACAGACCTTATGATCTAAAGCACACACGTTAAACCATTCGACCACCCAACCACCTGTTATAACAACCATAAAACGCGTTCTTTAATTCGCGTTATTTGTACCATCTTACAAATAAAATCTAGAAAGGTAACATACTACATTTTTGATTCTCCTTTCTTACAGTTACAACTTTGCCTTTTTTCTCTTTTTGCAGACTGATGGCCATCTCGCGGGTGGTAAGATCAGCAAATTACTTTTACCGTTTTGAATACATATTTTTGGGTAATCAGGGAGGTATCTATCTATAGTATAGGCTTGGCAGGCTGAAGCCTAGTACCTCGGGATCCGGCCGTGGTGTATAACATATCTGACACTGTCATAAGCCTTTCCGTCGAGCAGTGTAGTCTTAAAAAAATCCTTCATCATCCTCAGCTTTCCCAAATTGTGTTTAAAACACCGGTTCAGGTTCCTTTAGTCGTGGTGACGGGGATTGAGAGGGGCCCCATAAGTGGTATAGCCTAGGACCCCTCTTCAGCTAACTCCGCCACTGAGATGAACCTTATCAAGTATGAAATAACAACATACTAATGTTTACAAAAGATTTAGTTCACGGTGTATTTGCTATTTTGTTGTTTTCTTTCAGTATTTGACGAGAATTTTCCTGAAGAAAATCCAGGTATGTATATGTACAGAATTTAGATTGATATATAAAATTACAAGTTAAACCTAATTAGAGACATCCAAATTCAAAATAAATAATATATTGTAAAATCTGTCCAAACCATTACCAAATGAAACTTGAAAATATTATATTGTAAAAAGTGTCCATACCATCAATAATGAAATCAGGATATAATACATGTATATCGTAAAAACTGTCTATCCAAAAATAAAATCAGAAAATAATGTATTGTAATAACTGTCCATTCCATCAAAAATTAAATCAGAAACTAATATAAGGTCCATAATACCTTCAAAAATGGACATATTATGATTCACAAAATGTATTGAAATGAAGATGGCTATCGAAGTTTTTTATAAATATATTTTAGTTCTGAATTAGCATTGTAATCATTTAATCTTGGTGTTAAAAAAAAATGTCATCCGTGGTTGATTATAGAATGTTTAATTTAATTTAGAATATTATTTTATTTTATTGAAGGTTTGTTTGAAGGGGATATCGAGCTAGAACCAGGTGAAAATATTTATGTAAGTGACATCTCATCGCAAGGGTTTGTGGCTGTGTTTTATACGGAATGCTTTTTAATCTGAAAACATGTTCTGAGTCGGGGGTCGGGCTAAACTGCTACTTGTATTTGTTATCTAATCCCCATTCAGATCAGGGTAGGAATAGGGAGGGGGCTAGTCATTTAACGCGCAACGTGGTTTCTCTTCTGGTCCCCGGCTTTCTCTCGTTGCTACAGACCCCTACGCGCAAGGGAATTATCAAAATAAAATTGAAGCATATGTTAGTCCAGAAATGACCTAGTTTGTGTCGAGTGGACGTGTTGAACCCCATCTCTCTCTCTCTCTCTCTCTCTCTCTCTCGCTCTCTCTTTCTCTCATTAGAGATCAACTAGAACCCAACCACCAAAGTTGAATTCTAGAATCGAAGAAAGGGGTTTGAATATATATGATTTTGAGGGTGACGGTTAAGAGGTTGGTAACGTTAAAATGTGCGGCGGATAGTTTGTGTATTTCAAGATTTCCGTTGTCAGATACATTTGAGCAATACAAGTTAGAGTTGGGAAAGAGACGGGAATTTTAAAAAACTAAAGTCAATGGGAATCTATGGGCAATTAGAGACTTCCAGCTTACTACCATACTGTTATAAAATTCGAAATATTTAGTTTGACTCATGGGCCCTTATTCACGAAAACGTAACTGAGATAAAATCCAAATTTTAGTAATTTGATTGGATAATATTCGATTGATTTTAGTGCTTAGCCAATCAAAATTGAGGTATCTACTAAAATTTGGATTTTATCTTAAGTTAAAATTTCGTGAATCAGGGCCCTGGTGTATAACGTGCGAGATTTGTCCTTATGACCAAACCCTACTTTGACTACATAAAACTCTACATCATAAATCGTAAAATTCCAATATAGTTTTATGATAACATTTTGTTTTAAAGTGGTGAAACCAAATTGGTGCCCTTTATTATTAAAACCATTCTGTTTATGTTATATAGGATAGAAACGCCATTTTGAATAAAGATAAACTGTGGCCAAATGGTGTTCTGCCGTATATCATCTCGTCTACTTACTGTAAGTTTCAAAATACATTGGAACCTTCATATAGACGAAAATGGGTCTAAAAGCACATATAAGTGTAATATGAATATATATAAAGTGATTTATAATTAGTTTTAAAATATTTTATTGTAATGTCTTATCAATTATGTTCTAAACAACAGTAAAACTGTGCACTTTGTTGAGTTATTTACGTTTTTTAAATCACTACTTTATGGTTTGTGAATCAGTCATTACTAATTACTTCTGCATTGTTTTTTAGTATATGTGTTTCATTGTTCATTACAAATGACGTTTAAAACCATAAAAATACATGACCCGTGTACTAATTTTAAAATTGGCTTAAATGTTGTATATCAGTATCCCATATTTTCACAGTAAAATAACAACATCAATATTGATTGAAATGGACTAATATCGAATTTTAATTCCTGTTTTTAATTTCGAATTGTATGGAAAATATTGAGTTGAAGGTTTAGCTCCAATGAAAAGAGAACGACAGATCTCCGTAAGATCTTCATTAATGCTTTTTTTAAGCTTCAGGACAACAAGCTGTATTAAAAAATGCCATGAAGACAATAGAAGAAAAAACCAAGGTCAATGGTAAAACTTGTATTCAGTTTAAACCCCATACCAACCAACATCAGTATATTAAATTTGTTGATGGAACAGGGTAAGTTTAATACAAAGAACTTGCTTGGAAATATATTTTGTATCCACTATAGCTTTTATTTTATTTCAAATGCCAATTATTTCGCCACGGACCACCGCGCTCACATCTATGAGTTTGATTACACAACTGTGGCCTGGATCGCCGTTCTAACCTCCGATTCTTTCTGACCCCCGCGACGTATTCCGACTTACCTGATTTACCTCGACCGCTCCAGTTTATTCCGACCTCTCCCGGTTTACTTCAACCTCCGCGATATATTCCGACCTACCTGGTTTATTCCAAATTCTCCGGTTTACTCCCTAACATCTCCCGGTTTACTACGACCACCGCGATGGATTCAGCCCTACTTGGTTTACTCCTACTTCTCCGACAACTCCCACCTCCCCAAATTTACCACCACATCCCCGGTTTACTACGACCCCCTTCCCCGGTTTACCATTACCTCCTCGCCTTACCACGACCTCTTCGGTGTACCACGACCTCTTCGGTTGACTACGACCGCCTCGGTTTACCACGACCTCCCCGGTCGACTACTACCTCCTCGGTTTACTCCCAACCTTCTGGTTGACAACGACTTCCCTGGATTACCCAAATGTATACCACGGACCTCCCTGGTTGACAACGACCCCACTATCCCCAGTTGACTACGACTCTCCGGTTTACCACGACCTCCCCGGTTCACCCCGACCTCTCTTTTTTATTCCAACCTTTCCGGTTGACTACAATCTCCCCGGATGACTACGACCTCCCCAGTTTACTCCAACCTTGCCGGTTTATTCAGACTTCTCCAGTTTACACCTATCTCTCCGGTTAATTCAGACGTCTCCTGATTATTCCCACTTCACAACTAAAGAACTCCGAACGAATGTAAGTTATTGAAATAGGGATACATAGGGGCAGACTGGGTGGATCTGGACCCTCGGACCAACTTGTTTCCCTTGGGCTCCCATTCGCCGGTTCGAGACCCAGTCCGCCCCTGAGAATACACTGAAGAAATGACCAAGTTAATTGGACGTTAAACATTTCTTCCTTTCATTTTATAGATGCCATACACCAGCCGGTATGAGATCTGGTGCCACACCTGTCACTCTGGCGAGATATTGTATCCAAACTGGAACTGTCATGCACGAGATAAACCATGCTCTTGGAATGATGCACGAACAAAGTAGACCAGATCGCGATGATTATGTTACAATAGTTGAGAGTAATATTCAAAAAGGTTTGCTCTCCATCTTTTTATTTTTATGATTATCTGTTCCGTTGGGTGACCATAAGGTCTGTCATCGAGTCATGTGGCGTTTTTTCGATTCCCCGCCTGTCCGTGACAAGCAATGGGTCGCTCGTCCAACTTTATGGGTTTCCTTTGGGTCCTCCGGTTTCCTCCCACTGCAAGCGCATTATTGAAATACAATTGAACTATGTGGTAGTCACGAAATGACATAGTTTGTGTCCAGTGGACCTTAAACTCCACACTTCTCGACTTATTTTCGTTTGAATAGGTTTAGGTTTAACATCTCGCCAATAACACATGTCACACTGTAGTCTTTAACATAATGTTGTGGATCCTATCATGTGAATGGTGCTGCAAAGATAGACCAATTCTTTTTATGAGTACCATAAAACATCCATTCGGCAACCCATGCCTCCTTTACGTGCAACATACAGAGAGGGCTATGCCTGTTGCACAATCCATATTGAGAAATTAACTATCTTAATAAAATTATCGATATCATTTAATAAAAAAAAAGAAGAGAATGATGTGTAGAAAAAGTTTGATCCAGTCATTTTATTTGATATTTGTTGTTTTCTTGCAATGTCTGTGTAGTTTGTTTTATCCGCAGGTTTGTCTTTATTTTTACAGGACAGGAAATCAACTTCATGAAATTCAAACAGTTGGACGAATTGGGTCAATCTTATGATTACGGATCTCTTATGCACTACCCTGCCCATGCTTACGCCATTGATAAAAGTAAGCCTACCATTATACCAAAACAAAAAGGGGTTATTATTGGTCAACGAACTCATCTCAGCCCGATCGATATCAAAGAAATTCAGATTTTGTATGGCTGTATACCAAGACCACACTGATTTCCAGAAAAAAACAGAAGTAACCACCCGTAAAATAAAAAATATCCAAAAAATTGCATTCATAATTATTTGCACGATAAATTCCCCTGAACACATGAAATGGAATGAGGTAACGTCCTACTTTTCTGCACCGAAAGAGCTAATGCAGACGGGCATACGCTATGCAGTGTGATATGCGGGAAATTTGTCACGAACAGCGGCGCTACGGTTTACTCTTATATATAATTCCAACTGTTAAGGGTTCTTTTACGTGCAAGTCAACGTGTAAACAGGACTTTGGCTTGTTGTGCAAGACACTCTCTTGTACAACTGCCAATAGGAAACCACACTGGAAAACCCCACGGAACTTTCTCGATCAACACAAACACAAATCCCCGCTCTCCTGGTTAGTGAGCCACCGCCTTACCCACTGAGCCACTGCGGCCCCAATCCTCATATATTAAAATGACATTGTCAGCAATACAAGGATCCAAGATAAGAGCAACACGCCGTGAAAAGTACACCATGCGCATGAACAAAGAAAATCGGTCACTACAGATTAAAAAACCCCAGTGACCTATTTGATGAGTGTGGACACACCAATCTGTAAAGTCTAAGAATGATAAAGCATTTATTACAAAAGATAAAAAAATCGTTGGCGCACGATTGTATTACATTTAAATAAGACCAATTGATGTATAGGGTGACACGCAATTGTCCTTTTTAAATTTGTCTAAGGTTACGTGAGCGTCCCAAACGGCTGTCGTCTTCAGAATTTCACATTTTGGATGGAATGTTCTGGGTGACTGCAAACCTTTCAGATCCAGTAATTGGTGGCCTTCAACATCGAGTTCGAAGGTATAGAAGACTGAAGCTGGACGACGACTTAACGCTTAACGCATGCACTTTGGATCAAAAGGGCTGATATGATTAAAGTGCCGTGGTTTCGATCCAAAGCTTGTACGTAACAAGGAGCAGGATCACCCTTCTCCGGGTCCTCCGGTTTCTTCACACTACTAAAGACCCCTACGCGCTAGCGAATTATTGGAATACATGTAAAAGTGAACCATATGTTAGTCCCGAAATGACCTAGTTTGTGTCGAGTGGAAGTTAAACCCCATTACTCTCTCTCTCTATCATTTCATTCCATTTCCATATCTGCAAGGCAAAGTAGAGTAACAAATGGAGGGTCCACAAAAAGGCATCCACAATACCTTTATTGCTTGTATTTTGGAATTTAAGTCTCCTTGAGATGATACTGAACAATACAAAATGGATGAAAATTAAAAATAATGACGTTCGAATTTATAACTTTGGAAAATATGGAGCAATTGTATCATTTAGTACGAGCAGCTACATGGTAAATAACACAACATGGGAAATCACAAAGTCTTACAGAGATGCCTGAATATTAAAAGATGTACCTTCTGATTCGTCGACAATTGTGATAGAATAAGTAAAAAAATATACTGCATCTTTATTTACTTTTTTGTGTCGCTTTACCGCTTCACAGAAAACGTACAGCAATAAGTGCATAAATGATTTATTTTATAATATTATCAAATCGCGTAAATGGCACATCATTTGGATTCTGATGTGAATTAATCTAATTCCGTAGTTGTTCAAAATAAATATTTAAAAATCCGTATTTAAAATTAACACTTTACGCATTGATATAAGCGTGAATTAATCTAATTCCGTAGTTGTTCAAATTAAATATTTAAAAATCCGTATTTAAAATTAACACTTTACGCATTGATATAAGCGTAAGGTCAAGGGCGTATAAAATTAGGAATAAGACGCGTTCAAGAAAAATATGTTTACGTTCATAAAAAGGCGAAATATTTTAATACTAAACGGAATATGACATAATTGTGTGTATGGTGATGCAAATATCGATATAAATATTCTAGTAAGCGTTGTCAGTTTAACGATTATTCGCATCGCTCGTCTAAAGACATGAAAGTTCAATTTCAAGTTTGAAAAAAATGGCGGAGCCCAAGCACATGGTACCAAGCCCGCGGATATCACCCACTACATGAATGGCAAATTGAAAATCTGAGACTCGACTACTGTACTACATAGACCAGAGTGCCAACTGAGAGATAACAGTTGTACTCAATTTTTATCGTTTTATCTGTAGATGTACGATTTAAAGTGTTATTGGCAGCGAAAAAGTGTATTATAAGGAGTATATATTATTTCGGACTTTTGTATCCAAGGTGTTTGAAAATAATATGTTCAGCCTTGTTGGTGTCGAGACTAGTTTGCAACAAGATGGTGTCACTTTATCTTGTCCTTGACACATGTTCAGAAGATAAGTAATAAACGTGACGTGGCTGCTAAAGTTATATATTGTTATCTATCATTGCCCAATACAATAAAACACATCTGGTTTTGACAGATAGAATGCAATGGGGTTTAGCTTCCTGCTTTTCTACATCGACTGGGCTATTGAAAATGGGCGCACGCCATACAGTGTGCTATGAGGGAAATTTTGCCAGGACAGCGACACTAGGGCTTAGCCTCTTTAATCGAATTCCAGCTCAAGGGTTATTTGCCGTGCTCTGCAATGTATACACGGGACCTTGGTTTTTCCTTCTTTTCGAACGACTAGATGGTTTCCTTGCTCGACTTTCCATCCTGCACTAGTGTCACAGATATCTTCAATATTTTTAAAAGTGTGTATTTGAACAATTCCAGTATAGAAGGGGAGATGGGGTTCAATATACACGCGACAAAAACTATGTCTTTTCGGGACTAACACATTGTTCAGTTTTATTTCAATAACTCCCTTGAGCGTAGGAATCTTTAGATTTGAGGGGAAACCAGAGGAGCTAGAGAAAACCCACGAGGTTGGACTGGTCACTCTACTCATTTTAACGTACAAGCGTGGAATCGAAGCCACGCCACGTGACTCGAAGACAGACCGTGTGATCTAAAGCAGACTAATTAAAGGCTGTGATATTAAAGGACGCGTTAAACCACCCCCACCCCGCCCTATTGAAGAGGGGATCACGTGGCTAAGTGGTAAGACGCTGGCTCGCTAGCCTGGGGTTCGGGTGTTCGATCCCTGCATTGGCCGAGAAAGTTCATCCAGATTTTCCGGCGTGGTTTCCCCTTGTCAGTGGTGCAGGACGGAGGACCTCACAAGGACTGCTGTCTAGTCGTTCGGATGGGACGAAAAACCGAGGCCCCGTGTGCAAATTGACGTGCACGTAAAAGATCCCTTGGCAGTTGGAATTCGATATAAGAGTAGGCCGTAGCGCCGCTGCCCAGCAAAATTTCTCTCATAGCACACTGTATGACGTATGCTCGTCTTCATTAGCCCAGCTTAGGAGCAAAACAGTAGGACGTTAAACCCCATTTCATTTCATTTCATTTCCCTTTTAAAGAAGGCGATACAAACCTACTTATTTCAAAATTGAAATTAGAAAATAATATAAAAGCTGCCCACACCATCAAAAATGGACAAAGATGATTATGATTTATAAAATATATTAATAATTATTAAATGAAAGAAAGATAATAAAAAAGGGATGGTCAGACAGTTGGTAAAATTTAGAATCTAGATGTAGGTAGGGTACAATAGATAAGCTAAGTGGAATCATTATTTGTCGATTATAACGACGATGACAAACATGAAGACATCTTGTTTTTTTCTTTGTCTTCTTGGTTTCGCGTTTTCTGTTCCAGTGGAAAAAATCGAGGTAAGTTCTATTATGTAAAAATTAACAAGGCAACTAACGGGAATCTAATTGAAATGAAAATGGACTCATTTTTCGTGCCATCCGAACGACTATGCGTTGTCCCTAACCAGACTCTCCGTCCCGCGTCAAGGGGAACAAGTGGAAAGATTCCGATGAACCTCTTGGCCAATATGGTCGCCTGTCCAATCTCGTGGGTTTTCCCCGGGTCCTCCGGTTTCCTCCCACTGCTAAGACCCTCTCTCTCTCTAAGACGTTCTTCGGAACAAAAGCCTAAGGCACAGGTCTACCTAAAAGTTATCTTGCTCTGGCACATACAAATTATCTCAGTCGCTCTGCATTTAGTCACAATGAGCGTTTGCTTCTCTAAATCGTTTAAACCTTTGCTAGTTTTTTTGTTTTAATACTATTAATTTTTTGTTTTCAGTCTTTTTATTATGGTCCAAATGGTAAGATATGTTATTCACCTCTTTATTGGTTTGACGGGAATTACACGGAGTCTTTCATTCATGCAATGCTATGCCGGTGATCGTTGGATTAATTAACATTAAATATTAACCATTTAAAAGTGTAAAGATTCGAGTACGCCTTTGTAACAAATATTAAAAACAAAGAAGAAAACTTGTCTTTCCCATACTGTATAATTTTGGCTTTTAAAAACCTTACAATATTGGTCAACTTTCACTCTTTAGTATAATTATTTTAAATCAACCAATTAGCTTCAAATGTTATATAAATTATTATTTAGACATTTATTCACATGACAAGTCCATAATCAACTCTCTAGACAATCGGATGGCCATGATATTTAATGGATTAGAAAAACGCGCGCCATTAATTTAGCGATAGAATGAATAAACGAGACATGTTATTTTTCATTATCTATTTTTGAACTAATAAAGCAAGAACAGTCAGTCCTGTATTTATATCTTAGTTAATGCATATTGAACTAATATTTATTGAACCAAACTTTTGTTTCATTGGCATTTGTCGTAATATGGGAGGGTATTACAATATTTCAACGTAGAAAATTGATTATGTCTACAATATGGCGATCTAAATGTTTTTCTACCAATTTCTATACATTTTAGAATTTAATGAAGATTTCCCTGAAGAAAATCCAGGTGAGTTAATTGGTTTTCTTTAAAAAGAAAATACAAAAAAAAACCCAACAACAAATCAACCAAAATCGTCGTGTCTTGTATCAGCATAGGCGCCTGTAACGTGAAAAATCTCTTTCAAGACCGGCGGTTTAAATTTTAAAGATGTCAGCAAGCAGTTGCAATGCTCACCAATTCTCACTAGTTAGACCGGCGGTTTAAACTTTAAAGATGTCTGCAACCAGTCGCAATGCTCACCAATCCTCACTAGTTAGACTGGCGGTTAAACTTTAAAGATGTTTGAGCGACGCTCTTCAAGATTTTAACTCTTTTGATATGCCACCTACATACTCATAAATATAACGAGATAAAATACTGTTTTATATCTTTTTCAGGACTTTTTGAAGGAGATATTGAATTAAGAGAAGATGAAAACCCACTGGTAATTATTTAAAATCTCACCTTAATTTCATTAAAGCCCCAACCCAGTACAATGAACAGGAATTTCATTTGAAAAAATTCTGGTGAAAATCGATCAACTGTTATTTTAATGATGGCCATTTTAAAAGTATACCGGTTTAACGCCGCCATCTTTATGTATCATAGACAGATTCAGTAATAATGTTTCTGCCATCATTTTTGTACAAGCCAGCCCTTTTGAAGGGCTTTCGTTTTGTAACTGCTGTAATAATAACAGTTTGTACATTATAATGATACATATGTTCGACCTTTGATGGTTTTGTTTTAAAAAAAATGAAACAAGGGGAAATAAATCTGCGATCATTGCCAGACTACGAGTGTGAAGGTAACAATATTATAGGCCTATACTAAAATGAAAACACAAACTTACATGACATAGACGAGAAATTGATACTAGCAACAATTTTACATCTTTTAAGACAAAGAATACCGTTTATGTGAAGTGAAATGATAGAGGTGGGCTCAAGAAAGTGTACTAAGAGCAATAGTTCTCTCACCCCTTTCCCGGCCGCGTTGGATCACCGAAGAACTGCAGTTGCCTATCACGTTCTGCATTCATGCTTACCTTTGGACTTCATGCGCTTGAATTTTATTTTTCATTTCTCCCTCCCACATTGTTATCCATCCATTCCCCAAGGGAATCCATTCCCCCACCATGTACACGGATACAGACCACTCTATGGCCAGCGACTTTTAACACCATACAACCGATAACACCAAGTTTATTTTCGTGTGTGACCGAAAATGACAGGTGTCGACATTTATACTTCTTTTTCTCATACATTTTAAAACACATTGGGCGTTTCTGTACATAATCAGCTTAGATAATATTGTATATTATGCTTATTCTCTTTGAACCTTGGGGCAGTTCCTATTGTTATAGTCGTGCGGATGAGTACATGTAGTCGTACACATTGGCGTGCATATAAAAGAACCCTGTGCGGGCAAAATGTTTCACATAGTACATTGCATGGCGTATGCCCGTCTTCATTAACCCAGTCGGTACAGAAAAGTAGGACGTTAAACCCCATTTAATTTAATTTCAATGCTTCATTAATATACAATAATATTACCCAACTTTCTTGTCGTTGTAGTACGCGGCAGCACATACTTACTTTTTTGGGATAGGGCTTACTCCTTATAAATGTCGGATTTATCTTTAAGCCTCGAAGGCTGAAGGACAGCGCATCAATATTTAGTCGGGGGGAGGGGGGCGGGGGGCTCCGGCCAAAGTGTATAATATTTTTGACAATATCATTGATCAATTTTAAAATACACGTCCATCTTCCTCGTTTGGGTGGGGGTGAGTGAAGTAGTCTAAGTCCCCTCTGCATCTAAATCCGGATTCTACTTTTCCACAGTAACGCCGTAAGATTGATAATCCATTTTACTAATTTGGTGATTTTTGCAGGATAGAAACTCTATAACAGATAAGAGAAGATTATGGCCTAATGGTGTTTTACCTTATCTTATTTCATCTGGTTATTGTAAGTCACCCGTTCTTAGTTTTATTTCTTATAACACGTCTTGGCAAATAATTAAAGATGCATTGTGTAAGAGCTAAATCTGCTTATTGCAGGTGTTTCATTTGGCTTAAAATGTTATATTTATTTAGACATTTATTCACAAGGCAAACCCATAATCTCTCTCGAGATCATCGGGTGGCCAAGATTTCAATGGATTTGAACAAACACAAGATTTAAAAATTTAACGATAAAATGGATACTCAAGACTTTGCCTCGGTTGTCAGTACCGATAATGAACGATCTACGCTACATCCCCCAAACTGTCATAATTTCACTCAGATTTTAAAAAAATTAATGAAATTTTAATGTTCAATACAGTATTTTTTTATTATCTATTTATCCTTTTCAAGTGTTCTTTTATTATATTATTTGCTATAGAACCACAACCCTTATGAATTAAAATCTGACTTTCTGTAATTTTAATTAAACTTAGCTTCTTCTGATCAAGCGTCTATCAGGAATGCTATGAAGACTATAGAAGAGAAAACACGTGTTAATGGGAAAGCTTGTATAACATTTACACCCCGCACCTCTCAACGTCAATATATACAGTTTGTTTCCGGTTCCGGGTAAATACACTTAATTTTACTATTTATTTATCGGACATTTTGTCTTTGATTATCTGATATGATATATTGCGAAAACTACTTGTATTATTGTTACAAAATATTAGGGGTCAGGGGACCAACACCCACGACTGACAAAAACGAAAATGACATAGTTTTTTTTTCAAATAAATAAAATTCATCTTCGCATCCACTGAAAAATATAATGGCCTAAATTCGAGGAGAAAAATGATCCATGAAGGGGTGTGAATAAAGCAAGTTTCATTTTCTCGTCATCTCACGTATTCTTCATCAGGGGATCACGTGGCTAAGTGGGTAAGACGCTGGCTCGCTAGCCTGGAGGTCGGGTGTTTGATCCCTGCATTGGCCGAGAAAGTTCATTAAGATTTTCCGTCTTGGTTTCCCCTTGCCAGTGATGCAGGATGAAAAACCGAGGTCCCGTGTACACATTGGCGTGCACGTAAAAGATCCCTTGGCAGTTGGAATTCGATATAAGAGTAGGCCGTAGCGCCGCTTCCCGGGCAAGATTTCCCTCATAGCACACTGTATGGCGTATGCCCGTCTTCATTAGCCCAGGTTAGGAGCAGAACAGTAGGACGTTAAACCCCATTTCATTCCATTATTCTTCATCACGATGGTGGTCCACGAAAATGTCTTGTAATCAAAGTATTTGTATCACGGTTATTATAATCAATGACTTGAGACCATATGGCAAAATGATTTAATTTAGTTATCCATGTTTCCTCTCTGCGTGAGTTCTTTTTTTGTGTATCTTATATTCCCACTTGTTCAAAATGACTGAGTGGAATAAATTATTCAAAAAGCAAAAATTAGACTAATTAATTGAAACGAATATTAGTGTTTCTGGTAGTCAGCCGAACATAAGCTAACTGTCTGAACGAGATAACATTTATTTATTATATTATTTACAGCGTTATTCATTGTTTACCAATAACGATTACCTATTAGATACACAATTATGACAGGTAGCGGGGGACGGGGGGAGGGGGTACATAGGCTAAGCCTGTTCACAAAACCGATTCAAATATAATATTCTGAATAAAACTACTGTATATACTAGTGGTTGACCCGGCGTAGCACGGGTATAGCCATGGACCGGAAGTAGTATAATTCCAAAACCGGAAGTGGTAGACCATCGCTACCAGGCCTGTGTTTACTTCTCGGGCTGAGCTACTCATATACACCAAATTTTAGCCTCGGGACAGCCCTAGTTTAGCCACCAACACTGAACAGAGAGACAAACATACAAACGACAGTCACAAATATTAGTATAGATAAAATATCATATAGGATTACTCTAACCCAAATCCATATTTAAACCCTCTCCTAAATTATTAAACTAACCCTATCCTACACTTATCCTAACCCACTGTAACCCACCCCTAACCCTACTGTAACCATAATCTCATTGTGCTTAAGATCAACCTATGATATGATATTATATTTGAAGATGTCATACACCAGTTGGTATGGGTTACGGGTCATCATCTGTAACATTGGGAAGAGGTTGTCTTAGAATTGGTACCATCATGCACGAGATTAACCACGCACTTGGAACCTGGCATGAACAGAGTCGACACGACCGTGACAATTATGTTACTATTGATTTTTCTAATATTCAATCAGGTAAGTTGAATATTTTGTTTGCATATAGTGAGAAACACTAAATTTGACATGGCTGAAAAGCGCTGGGTAGATGCACTTGAAGGGATTAAAATAAAAATGCTTGCTACTGCTTGACTAGTATTACTAATAACACAAAGTGTATCACCCGCCATATTGTTTTGACCAGTTAAAGATATTTCGTCTGCTATCATCTCACTAGTTTTAACACTTCCTGTCGTTTTTATTGCAAACGAGGTTTTATTTGATGCGCTAAGCATAATATACTCTTCAAAAAAAAGTAGGGGATATTCAGAAACAATACAAAACTGCGGAAATGCACTGTTGTTTTTATTAGAGGTAACCAGTGTATGTTAATAACAGGCCAATTGGCTACACATTAACATAAACAGTTCATATGGGCGGCTTATCTGACGGCCCCATTTCACTCGCAAAGAGATACACTCTCAAAAGTGAAAATGGACGTTTTTGATTTTTGTCTAAATAATGAGAAATTGCTCCACCAATTTACAGACATTCAGCAATTCGTCGTGGCATACTCCTTATCAACCGTTCAATCACGATTTGGGGCAAACTGACCGGCTCCTCTTGCATTGCCACGGCCAATTCTTTGACGTCGACGAACATGTCTCCTGATTAAAGTAAACGTAACACACTAAAGCAAAGATACGCTAAAGAGTAAATCTTGTGGAAGAACCGATAGGATAGGATAACCCAGCAAGCGGCAGTTTTCATCAACCCTTCCTTAAAGTGTCAAATTTGACAATGAACCCCTCCGACGTGTGTGGCGCTATTGCGTGCCGCACATGCAGCTCATTGCTGCTGTTGGGGTGATAAGTTCTTCATCTGTGAACATACTCTCAAAGCATGTTAAGTGTCCATGACTATTTTATCATTTCACAACCTGCATAGGTATTTGCATTTCAATATCCCCTACTTTGTTTGAAGGGTATAAAATATGACATCTCGTCTGCGATATCACCATCGGTGGAAGCGGGCGCTAGACACTAATAGAAGAAGCTGCCCGTTTCGTTGTGCTACCAAATCAGAGGTGAATGCGAATACCCACTTGTAACACAATAACAAATATTTATAATATAGTATAGGGTAGTATAGTATACGTGTCAATTAGCACAGTGCCCTGGGTAGGTATATTTATGCATCATTAAAGGTTGCTGGGCCTTTTGTCGATCATGTCGCCATGTTTGGTTTGGGGTAAATGCCTTGTTTAAAGTATCAATGGTGTTATTAATTTATTAAAACCGACCACGCCCAGTATTATTATGGTCATCTACAAAATACGTTTCTCAAATACAAAGTTTGAAATCATTTATTCTTAAATTGTTGGAAAATGAAATGAAATGGGTTTAACGTCCTACTGTTATGCTAAATTGGTTAGCTACAAAAAGTGGCGTTATACAAAGATAAACATTTGACATTGTTCAAATATATTGCCAATACCGGGACTTGCTCTGATAGTTTGTCTAAATTAATATGCATATTCAACAATTAGACTGTCTAGAATACAAGTATTGTCCCTTTAAAACAATTAAAAGTGTAACAAATCGTTTCAATTAATTGTTTCAGGACGTGAACACAATTTTGTTAAATACAGCCTGGGAACAATTGATGAATTGGGTGAACCCTACGACTACGAGTCTGTGATGCACTACAGTGCCTATGCTTTTGCCAATAATCGACAAAAGCCTACCATCATTCCTAAACAGAGAGGAGCTGTCATTGGTCAACGTACACATCTTAGTCCTATTGATATCCAGGAAATGCAGATTTTATATGGATGCATACCAAGACCAACTTCTACTGGAGGTATATAATGTCTTATTATTTCTAATCTGTTGTTTAACTACTAGTTTGTCTTATGTCATTTAAGTAATGTTGCGTCATTAGCATTTTCCGTTAAAATATGAAATTCATCATGGCTTAATCCACGCTGATATGCATCAAGATTCATTATTTTATATCCAATTGAGAAAACAAAATCAAAATACCAACGCTAGATAATCTCCAGACATGGATTCAATCTGATTTAAAACTGGTCAATAATTAATGACGGACAACAAAATGGCGACGGGTTTATTATATCGGGAGCACCACGGATCGATGGTATTTCAATTCAAGATATCTTTATAAATATTGAATGGAATTGTCCCATTTTTTGACCGATATTTCTCTACAATATTCAAGCAATTGTCATTCTTCTGTAGTTAATTATGAAAACACCATAGCCATAATTTAGATTTAAATAGACTTTCTAACTCCCTAAAGAACAAATAATCATTATAAACTAATATGCACGTATTTTAATATTTTACTTCAGGTGTTGTAACACAAGCGCCATGTGAGTACTTAAAATCAAATTATATTTCACTAATGAAATCCGAAGCCATTTGTAATTCTAACGGATGACATTTCTTTCCAATGATCTTTGTGGGGTTAGGGTTACATTTAGTTAGGTTTAGCGGTCTTGAGTTGAGTAGATTTTTTTTGTAGCGAACTATGTTCGAGTGAATTACATTGTCTCTTCTTGTCGGTGCCAGAAATGTCATACCAACACGAGCAATGGTTTGAATGGGCGTCAAAGAGCAGTAGTATACAACAGTGGTTTCGTTTAGCTCAAACAATCCCTATCTAATGGATCAAGGTGCAAGTGTTATTACAATTGCCTAATTATAAAATGTATCGAAATGGTGTAACTGGATTTAAATTAAACAAAATAAATACAAAAATAAATGAAAATGAATAAATAAATAAATATACAATTTTAGTTGTTCCCACCAACGGCGCCTGTACATTTGACAAGGGTATGTGCGGCTGGACAAACGAACCCGGAACATTGACCTGGGCTGTTAGAGAAGGAAAAACACCGAGTATAAATACTGGACCGGATACTGATCACTCCGGATCACCTAACGGTAATAATACAGCTACATTTGTATTGAATTTCTATAAGCCCACACTAGTTTGATTTTCTGTTCTTCGGAACAAGTATTTCTTCTTATTGTTTAAAATTAACGTATTTAAGTTTTGACATTTTGAACAAACCATCTGTCACATAATTCATGTGTTTACTTATTTATCAACACCCCGAAGAATAAAAATTCAAACTGGTGTGGCCGAAGCTATGCTTCGAAGGACATGGTGTGCGTTTAAGGTCCTACAGTTCTGAACCACTGGGATAAATAAGAAAAAGTGGACTAAGCTATCCATAATAATTAACATACAAGTACTTGACGAAATCCGGGTGACCAATTCCCCCCCCCCCCCCCCAAATAGTTCTAAATGTGTAAGCCTGTGAGAAAATGCCATATTTTTGTTAGCATCTAGCAATTATATTGTCTGAATGGCATAATAGTGCCAAACCAACCAAAAGCAATATTTTTAGCGACTTGTGGTAGTAAAACCCTTCAGTGTTGCTTTAAATACAAATGATACTATATTGTAAAATGAAATGAAATGGAGTCAACGTTTTATGTTCTCAAAAGATTGGTCCAATGAAGACGGGCATACGCCATAAAGTACGCCAGACACTACGGCCTAGTCTAACAGTCAAGGGTTCTTTTTACGTGCACGCCAATGAGTAAACTGGGCCTAAGGCTTTCGCCCCATCCTACTGCACCACCGACACTGGTGAAGCACGCCGGAAAATCCCGATGAATTTTCTCGGTCAACACAGGGGTCGATCACAGGACGTCCAGGTTAGCGAGCCAACGCATTACTCACCGAGACCGCGGCTCCCGACTATACTGGACATCGCCAACAACCAGCTTTCTTAACCGTCCCCAATACGCTGCCAGTCAATACTGTTTGGACAGTAATACCCACCCATTGTGCTTTAAATACGATGATTAAAGTGAAAGAGTAAAATAAACAAAAACACGTTTTTTTATACTTTCAGGACACTATTTGTATGTAGAAGCTTCCGGACATCCCCAACAATCAGCTTTCATAACCTCTCCCGAATACGGTGCCGGTCAATACTGTTTGGACTTCTATTTTGATATGTATGGTCATGCCATGGGATATTTGAAGGTTTTTGCTAGAACTGGCAATACAAGGCAGCTGGTACATGAAATCAGTGGCGATCAGGGACAAAGATGGTCGAGATATAGAGTTAATATTAATGTTCCCTCTGGTTCATTCAGGGTTTGTATTATAATACTCACGTATTGATATATTTAATTAAGAATACCTTGAGCACATTCTGGACTAGAACGTTCTGGGTATATTCCAATGAAGAACGCTTTGTTGGCATATCGCAGTGGACTTTTCGGAATATTCCAGAAAAGAACTACTGGTGATATTTGAGAGAAAAGTGCTTTGGTCACATTCGAGAGAAAAACGCTTTGGGCATATTACAGAGAAGAACGCTCTGTGCATATTAAAAAGATCTTGTGGGAATATTCAAGGGAAAAATTTCTCGAGCTTATATTTTAGCCAGTAATTCGTTAGAGCACAAACGAAGAATGCTTAGACTATTCTGGCGAAGAACGATAACGCCAATATTTTAGCAAAAATTCGAGTTTGGCTGTGACTTAAAAATTGTAAATGTTTGAGATTCGCTAATGTTTACTAGAAACTGATTCCAAATCCGTTTTATTTCAGATTGAATTGGAAGGTCATGTTGGTACATCATATACCAGCGATATAGCCATCGATGACATAGTCTTTCACCAAGGAAAATGCTAATTGTATCAATCTGTAGTATTAATTTATGTAAAAAAATTCCCTAATTTTTCCTTCCGTTGTTTTTAATTTATTCCAGTCTTTATTATCCTGGATCATGCTGATCAGTAGTAAATGATCACTTAGCCGCCATTATCACTGATATAGATGATACCGGCCTAGTTAACTAACTTTTTGTCTTCGGTAAATTAAATCCAAAAACATTTTTTAAAATTGTTAAGAAGTACATGTAACTAAATGACACTAAGCTAGTCTCAAAGTAAAGTGTTCAGACTTTAATTACATTGTAAGACCATGTAAATTGACTCACATTTCTACTAAATGAGATGTTGAATAAGCTCTTAAAGATAAGATCTCCAGTCGCTTCTCATATTTTTGTGTTGTTGACGGTCTTCCGTTTTGTTTACATTGGCGACACTACGGGATATCCCTGATCATGTTCCAAATGACTGTGATTAAAGCAACACAACTCATTGATATTTATAAAGGGCATTCTATTCAACTAATGGTGGTGGTGGCGGGTGGGGAGGGGGCTACATTAATATCATTAAAAAGTAAACACAATTAAACTGTCAAACAGTTCAAACTGGTAATGGGTTTTAAACTTAATATTAATCAGGGGCCTGTTTCACGAAATTTTAACTAAGATAAAATCCAAATTTTAGTAATTTGATTGGATAATATTAGATTGATTTTAGTGCTTAGCCAATCAAAATTAAAGTATCTACTAAAATTTGGATTTTATCTTTAGTTAAGATTTCGAGAAACAGGGCCAAGTACTAGACAATAGCTGTTTGAAATTAGGTAAATCAAGCTTGGGCATTCTGAATTGATATTGGTTACGGTGTTTTCACAATTACAAGTTAAAGACAACACAGGAAAATCCACCCAAGACCATCCCAGGTAATAACTCAAGTAAAACCTTTTAAAAATGTTAAAGTACGTAGTTTGCTTGTCAAACTTATAGTACATTTCATTAATTACACACCTAATGTCTCATAACTGCACCGCATATCATACAAGTTTAAACATACATTATACAAGAGCTAAATCTGCCTATTGCAGGTCTGTCTTTAGGCCTGAAATGTTATATAAACTATTAATTAGATATTTATTAACAAAATAAGACCATTATCAACTCTCGATGGCATCGGATACTCGAGATTTTAACTAGATTAGAACGATTCGCCATTCTAAAATTTAATTTAAAAATGAGAAAGCGAGGCTAAGTCTCGAATATACCAGTGACCTGCTTACCACAATGCACACGTTTTGTCAAAACTACAAACAGTGATAACTTGGCTCAGAATGAAGTAATTTGAATGAAATTTTCAATATTTTCATCTTTTATTATCTACTTTTGAGTTATTATAGCAAAAATGGACAGCTCTGTACGTAAATCTTACATACCATACCTTTAAATTATAGTGCTACGGCGTAATTGTCGCGCCAGTTTTTGTGTGCAGATAATACAATGAACCTGGTAGACTATTGGTTGAAACCTAGTTTACGCATGGAAATTACAATGTACAAATAAAATAAAATGAAACCGAGTTTAACGTCCTACTGTTCTGCTCCAACTGGGCTAATAAAGACGGAAACACGCCATACAGTGTGCTATGAGGGAAATGGTGCCCGGGCAACACAAAAGGATGTTCTTTAAGATTTGTTTATGGTTCGTATTAAGACCACTTTTCTATAGCCAAGTCGAAGCAGAAAAGTCGGGCGTTAAACCTCATTTCGTCCTGTAAGGCCTTATTTATAGTTTGTACTATAATATTCTACAATTCACTGTGTTTTCGTGTTAAAGATACATTTTAAAGCGGTAGGCTTTTAAATATGTTCACAATAATGCTCATACTGCTAGTAATAGGATATACTCTATATTGAAGAACGCCGTTGAGATATCAAACGCTTCCTGTCGCAGCCGGAAATTGCATTATTCGGTTGGTGGCAAATAATTGTGCATGTAATCAACCATTAATAAATTCAGGTTTCTAAAAGTCATTTATGAAAACAGCCTCCAGATTAGAATGCTGGAATTATTTGAGGTAAATTACTATTTGTCGTATCGAGTCATTTACGATCCAATTATGTTTTACAACGCAGATCGCAATCAAAATTATCTAGGGACAAAACCATGATGTTACGGTGCAGATTGTATTGCCAAATGAAATGAAAGACAAAAAGAAATGAAATAATCACGTTGTGAAACAGAAATTATTTTATTATTAAGACATATTGGAGCCCATGTCCTTCTTTTTTTCGATACCCTTATTACAGCAAGTGTCCCGTGATTACATTAAAGGAAATGAAATGAAATGGGGTTTAACGTCCTACTGTTCTGCTCCGAACTGGGCTAATGGAGACGGGTTACATTAAAGGACCTAAGTCTCCAGCTCAATATTATCAATAAATTCGATATCATAAACACAAATTCAATATCAGTGCATTTCAATCAGTATTGGTGTTGTTTTCTTACCGCGAAAATACTGGATCCTCGATAACCAATATTTAAGACACGGTGCCATTTGTAATGAACAAAACAAAAAATATCCTACAAACCAACATGGAAGTAATTAGTAATGGTATTCACAAACAACAAAATAATAATTATATACAAATGTTTAGAATGGACTAAGCAGGCGTAAACTACTGACTGTTCACGTATTTCACCGGAACTAATATTGATTAGAAACTTGCAGGTGAATCACGTTATATGCATTCATATTGCATTAGTATGTGCTTTTAGACCAATTTTCGTATTTTATGGTTTCTAAGAGCTAACTACATTAAATATCAATCAACTCTAGAAAAAACACCGCGATTTTCAAGAGAAATGCATCAGTCACGAGATGTTATTGATTTAAAACATCATAACATCAATCAAACTACACACGTGATTTTATGTTTGAAATCAAAACAATGACAACGTTTGAATGTAATCATTTCCTGCTGAATTATTACACAGACTAAGATTGGTTCCATTACGGTTAGTGATTAAAAATATATTTAAATGTATTTCTTTATGATGATTTTTACTCCACTATATTGGCACATATGTTGTATTATATATGGACTAGGAACCCGACGGAACCTGTTGTTAAGACGGAGAGTTGGATGGCCGAATGGTTAGCACGTGCGCGCTGTATCATAAGGCCTGTGGTTTCGAATCCCCGGTTGTACGTGACAAGGAATAGGGTCGCCTGTTCAACCTCGTGGGTTTTCTCCGGCTCCCCCGGTTTCCCCCCACTGCTAAAGACCCCTACGCGCAATTGAATTGCTGAAATGAAATTAAACCATATGTTAGTCCCGAAATGATCTAGTGTGTATCGAGTGGATGTTAAAATCCATTTCTCTCTCTTAGGTAAGACGTTCTTCGGAACAAAAGCCTAAGGCTCCGCAATTTCAAGTACGATCGACAATAAACCTTGGCATGGTTGTTCCTTGGACAATTGCGCATCGTTATTCCAAAATGGTCGCGGTGCCGTGCTGCTTGGTTTCTTATGATATGACATCATTCCAGTCGCGATGACGTAATGTTTATCTCCAATAATGGTAGGCGAATTGCTACGGTGTATAAACTTGTTGAAATGTCGTGAAAAGGGTTGAGTTGACGTTGGTTTGTTTACCAATTTACTAAGATTCACGGACCAGAACTTTTTAAAAATAAAGACGGATCAAGGAGGAGTGTGTGTGTGTGTGTGTGTGTGTGTGTGTGTGTGTGTTGGGGGGGGGGCAGTTTAGGATAAATACACGTGATCTGTACTTGACTATTGTGGATACCGGGACAAACAACGGCAAAAGGCGCAGACATAACAATCTGGGCCCTGTTTCTCGAAATCTTAACTAACGATAAAATCCAAATGTTGGTAGATACTTCAATTTTGATTGGCTAAGCACTAAAATCAATGTAATATTATCCAATCAACTTACTAAAATTTGGGTTTTATCTTAGGTCCCAGATACATAATATTCTTGAACTGTTTCACCTTCAAGGCAATTTAATTAATATTGCAGTATGAACCATAATAATGTATAAGCTACTGTTCGAGTTAATTATTGCACATAACACAGTACAACACAGACTGATTAACAGTTAAAATCAATGATTAGGTATTGATTATAAATAACTAAATCAAACATATCAGATGCATCAGTAAATATAGCTTATTAAGCCAAGAATAAAATCTTTGTTTATGGTTACTTAGCCCCCAACAATCCCCAGGCACTTGAAGGGATTAAAATAAAACATTTTACTACTGCTTGACTATATATTACAGTATTAACAAAGTGTATCACTCGCCACATTGTTTTGACTCGTTGACGACATTTCATCTTCTATCATCTCACAATACTCACTAGTTCTAACACTGACCGTCGTTTTTATTACCAGCGAGACTTTATTTGATAATTACAACTTCTGATGTAAATAAATTAAATTTGTCATTTTACAGCGTTATTAATTACAAATCAAACTTTAAACGCGATCACTTGGCGATTAGAAACTTCGTCGGACCTGAAGTTACACGAAATGAGGTCAATGACGTTGCGTTGGGGAAGCACTTATTTTTGATTGTCAAAGCGTGTTACTAAAAATGAATTATGAATCTCAGAATGACAGCTGAATACTCTCATTGGTATGTAACATACTTAGGATAATTTAATTGATCAAAAATAAAATGGCTTTAACATATATAAAGGAGATATCTATAATTGAACAATTCTATTTCTGTTCCTTGCATAGGCGTTTGAGCGGGGCGGGAGGGGGGGGGGCAGATTTCTCGGGCAGACAGGTTAAGTGATAAAAAAAAATAATATATAATATTTTTGGGGAAAAATATAATTTTGCCCTCCCCACCCTTATTAGATTGCAACTCATATTATTTCTTAAAGAATGAATAACATCTTTTTTATTTCTGAATACTGATACCATACAATGGTATAGACTTCCAGTCCATTCTTTTGTTTGTTATGTCTATGTCAGATGATAACAGACAAAATGTCGCCAAGGAGTCA